CGCCATCGCAAACAGCTTTGGTCCGCCCTGGGGTTTCTTCGTACGCTGAACCAATCACTTCTATTCCTGGGACCAGGGTCTTGATCTGCTCATTTCCGCCTATTAACGTTACAAAAAACGAGAAGAAAGAGAAGTCGCATGACCAAACCTGGACCAAACCTTCAAAACAAGTACACGGAAGCCGGTCTCTGCTCCTTGCATGCAATCTTACACGCCCTTATACCATCACGAACTGCCTAGTCTGCACTACTCAGGACGCGTGCTGAAACTACAGAGCTCTAGCAAGAGATATAGTTTAACGCTCATCTGACAGCTGGCAGTAACAAGGGCCCGACATACCTGAATGGTCAGCATGCCTATGGGTGCATAGACACTTTTGTAGAGTCACGCCATGCTCTTTGGCCGCAGCAATGACCTGTACGTGAACCCAAACTCAGTGGTTGCATGCATTCCATCACCGACAGACTACTGACTCTAAACTCCAGAAACGTGAGCAGTTGCCTTGACAAGAGGCGCCAATCATAATCCCAAGTTCACATGAATCCTCTGCAGCCAGCATGGTCCACCATAAAAAGTACAATGCTACAACAAACGGGTGGGCACTGAAACGACATGGGAATGAGAGTTAGCTCACCTTCTCTGGCTCGGCTGGGTCCACGCAGGCCGCCGTTTTCGTCTTTCTGAGTCACCAAAAATTCCAAAGACTACTCACATTCTTCCTCTCCCAAAAACGCATGGCGTGGGAAAGTCTACTGCTTACGTCCGGGGCCATGGAAAGAAGCTACACGTTGCCTTACTTGTCTATCAGGAGGTATGCGTAGTTGTCCGAAAGTGTCGGGACAGGAATAACTTCAGCGCGGGCCTGCAAAAACAAAACAGCCGGAAACGTTTGCGGCGCAGATGCAATTATGTTTCAAGGAGAAATACCAGATGGTCTAAGGATGTTCTGTACCTGACGCAGTGCGAGAGAAATTTGATCTATCTAGCTAAAGCGAATATTGAACGAGCTTAAGTGCTTCAGCGCACCATTTTAAAAAGTAAAGGTCTGCAGAAAGCAATGCTGCTCTTGGCTGTGGAAAAGCACGCGCCCTGACCCTGCACAGCACCGACGTGAACGAGACCACAGGCACACAGAAGCAGGCATTAAGAATGACCTAACTGCGACGTATGAGTCACACAGTCCCAGGAAAACTGCGGCTGGCGTCTGCAACGCCTCCCTACCGCTGACGTCGCGTGAGGGGACCAGGGGCAACATGGAAGGCGCACGGATTGCGGGAACGCGACTAAGTGGCATAATGTACTTCCCACGATGTGGCACCGTTGAGCCCAAGCTGCAGCTACATGCCGTAACAGGATCATCAGCACCGTACAATAACTGTGGGCTAGCAAAGACACAGAATGCCTAGTGGCAGAAAGATGGGAAACAGGGCACCCTAAGCAACTGCCCAGGTGAAGCTTACGCGAAATGCCTTGATGTCAATTGCAGCCAGTAAAAAAGCACGGCCTGGATATATCATGCGACGCGCAGGGCACAGTCCTGGTTGCGAATCACCCGCGGATGTGAACAGCTGGTGTCGGCTACGCATGCATCTTTGTGCTGTCGTTAGCTAAGAGCTTTTATATGCAAACAAAAATAGCCTGGAATAAAGTACAGTTCCGTCTTTAATGTTTTCACTCACCACGGAACATATATTCAGCTGCAGTGTTTAGGTCATGTACAGCAGCGCCCGCGGGTTGCGAGCGGGACTGTCTTGGATGAGGACAGACGGACAGGCACAGTGCGTCTGTCGGGCCAATTCTTTCCCTTTTTTGCTGTTGCTTTTAATTTGATTGCGCTGCACTGTAGTTTGAAATGGAGAGCCGCAAACGCCCCTTACGCCCTCGAGCCGCGAGATGGACTTGGGTCCTTCTCTCTCTTCTAATTCTCTCATGGGGCGCCGATGTGTCGATTTCTACTCCATTAAGTAAGGAACCATTATATTTTAGCTTCGGAGAACAGATTTGTACGGAGATTTTTCATGAGTACCTTGATGGCGCGTGTGCTGATCGCTGCTGCGATTTGAGACGGGAGATATATTCGAAGTCTTTGGGGTGACCCGTCGACTGTTCCACAATTTTTGAGTCCTGTTTTACATTAACGAAATAAAAAACAGATAGCATAACCCTTAGGCCCAACAGCACTTCCGCAGGACTGCAGGTGTTGCCTCTATGTCTGCTGCTGTCGAATTCCCGTGTTATACTCATAGGGGGCCAACACAGCATAATGGTCTTTATTTCCCTCGTGAATTGCGCCGCAGACCGTGAGGCTGAGTCAGCTTTGCTCGCCCGCGTTGAAGCGAAACATTCTACGTTCCCGACTTACGTCCATGGAATGTCCAAGGCGGGCAGCCCCGTTATCTACAAGCCAAGCCTAAGTGGGCTGCGAGATTTCCGCAGGTTGTTTGTTTTACAGACCGACTCGTACTTAATTGACACGTGGCTGGAGGTGAGAACTACTCACAGACTGGACGTGCTAGTCGGTGCTTTTTGATGTGACGCCGAATCTACCTGCAGATGCCATCTCGGATTGCTGTTTGATGTACTGATTGTGGACAGCTGTGTACATTAATATTGGACTCGATGGGATGGGTTGTGTTTTTGCTCGGTGGGCTTTTGTTTCCACGCAGGAGACAAAGGCGAGTGCTTTCACGTTGGTTCTGGACTTCGGCATGCTTACGAGACGACTGAGAGCACCAACGCTGGATATGTGGGAGTCACTGAGGAACGTCGTGGACCCGCTACCTGCGGAGGCGCGATCGTCCATTGAGCAAATGGTTCACCGAGTGTTCGCACGGTGCGAGGCGGTTGTGGTTGTGAATGCAACCACCTTCTTGAAGCTTTTGAAGCCTGTTATATCTCTGATGGTTCCGGTCAGCAGTGATAAGTTATTTGTCTCCACAGACTACTCGGCGTTGTTTAAAGTAGTGTCTGCCCCGCAGGTTCCCAGACCGTACAACCCCTCTTCCCCCGATGTGCTCAGCAGCAGTGCTCACACAACGCAGCTGTACACTTTGCTGAATGCCCGAGCCCAGGAGGTTCTAGGGCGGCCCTTGCAGATTGATATTCCCGCTGCAATGGCTCCGCCTCCGAAAAAGGTGCAAACAGATAAGGAGCAGCCTCCTGTGGTTCCTTCGCCCAAGCCGATACCGGCACCAGAGGAAAGGACTGTAGCAGAAGCCTTAGAAGTGGACCAAGAGGACCTGTTTGATGATATTGACTAGTGGCTTAATGGGTTTCAGACCGAAGCTGGCCCGAGGCGCACATGGAAATCAAGAACAGCTTAATCAAAAATGCTGCAATGATTTGCATGGGACTCAGCGTGCAGACTGCCCAATGTCTGTGTCATAGCAGTGGCCAGGATTGGCACAGGGGGAGCAGTTCAACTGAGGGCGCCTCCCAGTATGTGAAGCCCTTATGCGCGGCGAAGGTTCGCTCACAGCTAAAAAGCTTACGCACGCGCTGCGCACTGGACAAAGAGGAGCGCACGCACATCAATTAGTGGCCTGTTCACGCGCACATGGGTTGCAGAGGTGGACATGGCAAGGGCTCGTGACACACATCCACAGGCTGTTCATGCCACTTAACCTGCCGGTAACAGTGCGGGGAATGGCTTTTGTTTCTTCTGGCGGCAGCGACACGTACGACCGTGATATATTTTTTAGAGGGAATGTCACTCCTTTATCGAGTCAAGAATGTGCTCTGGATTCACTTTCGAGTAAAGGCGGCGCATCATAACTTGTTGCTCCACAGCAGACCTGCAGCTTTAGATTCATTTTTTTTGGGGATACTGAGTGAATAGGCGATGTTGTCGATGTGGCATTGGGAGTGTAGGTAGGGAGGGAGTAGCGTAGAGCAGCGGGCAAACCACAGCATGTGCGTAACGCCGAAAAGCACTTGCATTTTCAAGGCTTTCGCGTCATCCAGACAACAGGCTGGGGATGGAACATAGACTTGAGCGATACGGATATTTTGTAGTTTTAGGGCGGCGATGTTGGTTTTAGTACGCCGTCGTTGTTAGAAGGAAGATTCACAGACTTGAAGGACGGGCAGATATCTGTAGAACAAGTAACATTTTACACAGAGGAACGCTGCGGTACGTACGTTCCTCCTTCGAGCATGCGGAGGTATGCAAACGATCCCTAGCTCATTAGACTGGAGTGCAGCTGCAGTTCCACTGTTGAAGAGCAGCGTACAAGTTTAGTTCGGCACGTTTGTTTATTAAACGCTTTTCCGCTGATTAAGCCCAAAGGTTCCACTGGATTTTCTAAGCGGCTGTGCAAATGGGTCGTGGCCGATTTGACCACACTGGATGGAGAAGTGCTGACGCAGAGAGAAGAACGAAATAGTCAATCAAACGACAAGATACACCGCAAAGTCCTCCTCGTCCACTGGTCAAAGAGATAGAAGGTATATCACTCACCAGGAGCCAGTGATCAACAGGCGGCATTTCTTGCTCTTCGCATGACCTGTGTGACGCTCATTCCATCAGTGTTGCTCATTGTGCTGAAGAGAAGTCGCATGTATAGTGTGTTCAAAATCATGCGTGCATTGGTGTTAATTGTATTCATGACGTCTGGAGGTAAAAGGAGATGGGTTTATATTGGGGTAGCTTGTTGCATGGGTGTGCATAGGGGTTTGCCGGGTTAGCATGCTTCTTTCCATGATACACTTCTTGCGAACTGTTTGCACTAGGATTGCATTGAATTACTTTTTGCATAATAAATCTCTCCTGATGCACGGAAATTGACATGATGAGATTATCAACCTAAGCTGCGCAAGTGCGACATCTCTACAGCACAGCTAGCAGTACAGGGCAGCGAGTAGCGCGTTCCACGGTTGTTGCTCTATGCATTGTCATCCTGGCTAAGAAAAAAGGTTTATTTAAGAATAGACGTAGCTCCGCTGAGCCATCCAGTAGCGGCACCCAACTTGATTGGAATGTCGAGACAGAAGTAGAGCCAATGGAGATTGACAGTCAGGTAGCGGCTAGTGCTGTCACTTCTGCTGAGGCAGTACCGAATCTACCTATTGATTTTAGAAAGCCATTGACGGCTGCAACTCAGGAAGAATCCTTTGCTGCAATCGGAGAGGCAACTGCGGCTCTCCTGGAAGCTGCTTTCTGCTCCCAAGATACTAAAGTGGTGCAGAAACTTGTCGAAGCACTAACTCTCCTTGAGAAGCCTCAATATGCTGTAGGCGATAGCGAAGATGGAGAGTCTGAAGGTCCGAAAGATGAAGCCGGCAATGCTGTCCCAACTACCCCGCAGCAAGAAACGGAACACGAACCAATACCGCCAACATCAGATTGTACCGTCGCTGGCTTTTTTAGCTTAGAAGCAGTGCCATTTGGCTCTCTCATATTCTCCGGAAGTTTGTCTCTTAGTCAACAAGGGACGCTCAGCTTCGTCGGACCAGGCAAGGGAAAGCCACTCAATGTGATGCCTACACTCTTTACTTCCAGTCATTCCAGTGGATAGTGCGACACAATTAATCAACTGCGTGGACTCCGCTCACGCCAGATTTCCAATGATATTGCTGTCTTTGCTTGAGCAGCTACTGTGCGAATTGAAAATGGTACGAAGTATCACGGCCAGCTTTGCAACCGTATGCGACTTTGCGGGGATGGGAAAATTGAATGGCCCAGTGGAGCCACGTATAAAGGACAGGTAGTTTTCACAACTTCGTAGCACCTCTAAAATACAAAGAGAAGATGAAGGCCCGGAGCTTGCTCAGCCTCATCTGAGCTTGTGACCAGCCATCATTTCTTGAGTGTCAGCACAGCAGACTTGTCTAACTGCTTTTCCGCACGCGAATAGTATGCTCGTTATAGAAACACAACAATACGAAGTATGTAGCTAACTGAAAACAACACAAGCCACACCTTTATGCAAAAAGAGGCTCGTGAACGTTTCTCTTTTGCATAACGCGATAGGTTGCTCAAGGTTTGCGCAATGGAGTTGGTACTTACACGTCAGCAGATGGGTACGGCACAAGAATTGGCACGAACGACATGCATAGATGACTTTGAGGGGCAGAAACTTTGGTAAAATAATTGGTTAGCGGCGCAGAATTCATCGACAGAGTGCTTTGTGCGACTGCGGCGCCTAGAGCACTGCCAGACGTTTGGATCATTTGAAGCTTCTCTGCAGGAGATTCACTTATGAAGGCGAATGGCGCCAAGGGGTGCGCGTCGGCTGGGGGGTCCTAACAAGCACGGACGGCAGCAAATACTCGGGTATTGTACACTAGCTGGCTTCTACCTTTTGTGAAAAACCAGCTACTCTGCAGCTCAATAAGAAGAGGAAAAATGGATTCAAAGACAAACTGACACGTTAAGTACAGATACGCATACTATTCTTCGATTGTACCACATGCAACAAGCGGCCAGAGCTTCTGCATCGCCATGCCACACAGGCGCTGCAAAACCTTTGACGCACTCTAGGATGGGCCTAGCAGCGTGGTCACTCTCCATAGAAAGCAGTACATCGTAATTATGAATGTCTGTCGACAACCTACAGGAGAATGGTTAGCTGGCCGCCGCCACGGTTTCGGAGAACAGATCTATGCTGATGGTAGCAGATACGAGGGACAGTGGGCTGACGGGCTGCAAGATGGGCATGGGGTTATGGCATGGAAGAAATCCGCAGTTCAGTACTGTGGTATGGGCCACGCAACACTTAACACGTTGGCGCTGGTTCTTCTTCGAAATTTGAGCAAAGCAGCATGATCCATAGGCTTCCCAACCAGTACCCGCCACTGCATAGAATTGCTTGGGCAGCATATGATGTAACATGCACACGCGACTTACAGGGCTTAACGCGAATAGACAATCGCAGGACGTGCACAGTATTGAGCACTGGCAATCGTTTCGTTAGGGCCAACTTTCTCGTTTGTTTATTATGCGCTATGCGAAACATGCAGGAGAGTGGAGCAAGGGCACTGTTTCCGGGTGGGGCCGCCAAACTTGGATTGAAGCACCTGACGCAGAAGGCGGAGGCTCATGTAAATGCTTATCATGTTCCCTCCCATTTTGAGTCTGAATAGCTGTTGGCAGGCCGACATGTATAAGTTTAGTTCGCATTTGACCACTGAGACATTCTGATGTCGAGTAAATGCTCCTCGCCGCAGGGAGTGTCGGGCGCAATCTCCAGCAAAACCATTACGAAGGACAATTCCAAGTAGCCTTACACTTCCGCAAGTACTGAGCCCAACTGATCTACGCAGCAACTGTACAAAGCTTGCTCTTCCATAGCGACATCGTGGTCATCCCATCTTCCGTTGCCTGCCTGTGCCTCCCGCTTGCTTCAAGACAAGAGCACCCTTTTGAAGGCAACCAAAATCCTTTTGTTTGCGTTGTGTGAATAGAACGGCCGAAGAGAAGGAGTTGGGGCATTTAGCTACTCTAACGGGGCTAGATATGAGGGTTCATGGGTAGCAGATCAAAAACATGGAATAGGGAAGTTCAAGTCTGAGACTGGAGTGCTGTATGAGGGTAAAAGTAGCGGAACGACTAAAATACACCCTGAGCTACACCCTGAAAAGCCTCAAACGGCCTTCCTCTCAGCCCCCAAATTGAGTGGTCATCTGACGCTGGGGCATTTACTACGCTCCATTTTCACTTTTTAGGCCTATTTGTCTATGACCGGATGGCTGAAGATCCGCCTACTACTCTTGATGACGGCGTGCGAGCGTTTGTTGACCTTTCTACTGCGGAGCAAATAGAAACTTACAGGCATCTTCAGGCGTGCAGTGGACCTGATATTTGGCTACAAGCCTCTGCTTGCGAGCGCCTAGCTGCTAAAACAATTCGAAGCGTCTACCAGACAATGCTCAGGTGAGAACCTTTTGTGAGTGTTTCTAGTCTTTGCACTAATATGTTGTACGGCTTCTCCTTGGCTCGTCGTTTCATAAGAGCTGTGCACAAGTTAATGTACGCAGCCGCTGGACTCTTCTTTCATCCGTGAACCTTCGCACCTTCGACTTCCTGCTGGACTCTTGCTTGCAGAAATGTATGCGTCCTCCGACGGGTTTACGGGGCTTATCGCCGCTCGGCGCCAATGCCTCATAATGACCCTTATATCCTTTCTTGTGCGCAGTTTTGGTACGAGCGGAGCCGAATTGGATGAGTATTTCAGATGCGACAACTATCAATTTGGAAGGCAGCCTGGCATTCTGTTCTGATACTAGTTTGTACAGCGCTGTTTCTATCCACCTTCAGACTAAGTAAACCACACAGCCTTCTGTATGCACGAATCTGACACTTCTCCCCTTGTGACTGCTGCGCCTCAGGTGTCTTGCATTTGATGCTGACCTTTTAAGCCGTTCCTGCTCTCTTTATGATACAGCTAAGGTATAATTGCCTGTGAAGCACATAACTACCAAATTCCCCATGGTTGCACATTGCTCTGCCACCTGAGCCCAATAGATATTATCTTGTTTTGGACAGTGCATTTGTGGCTGTATTCCTTATTCCTTGTCTTCCTTGCAGTTGCTGCTTAGTTCAGGAAGTGATGAGACATTCCAGCGGGCACGGCGCCTTATTGGCAGAGCCCCTACCACTTTGACCGTAATAGAAGCAGAGCGAAGGCGCAGCTCACGTAGCTCTGATATTCAGATCACGGGAATCACAAATTCACTGCAGCATGCTGTCACAACTGCTCAGCAGAACTCGACTCAGCCACAAGATGCATGCGGCACAAGTTCGTGCTCACGAATCAGCACGCTTCCACGCCAGGGACACATTACCAGCTACAGTGCAGCAAGAAAGCCGCGCGCCTACGAAACTATCGCTGAAGACGCTCTTCCTCTTCATCGAAGGCCAGTTCTCTTTCCGGCTTTTCTAAGAGCTCTTGTTTTACTGCTACAAAATCGTCTGCGCGGCCAGAGAAAAAGACACAAGCGTCGAGAAGTGTTACGCACTACAACACCTCATGCACGATTTCGTGAATGCCCCAATCCAGACGATCCTAATTGTTTGAGCTTTGCTTGGATTGAGCTCTGCCGAAAGCTCCGCATTTTTAGTGATGCCCTTGAGAAGCAGATACAGCAGCGCAAAAGCGAGTCACGCGAAAAAACGGGTACTTCAGACGAGCTGCAAGAGCAGCCATTAACAGGAAGCGGTGCTCGGGTGGAAGAGGCAAGCTGTTCTTTGAGTAGCATGTCCAGTGAAAGGCAGCACCTGAGACAGGCCGCGCAGTCTCGCGGGCTACTGCGAAGAAAAGTTTCGTCTTCACAGCAGCCCTTCTCCTCTCCTGCAAGAGGAAACAATTCGAAACAGTCGATGATCCCCGAATTCTCAACAGATGCAACCCTCGCTCCCCTCGACAAAGGGCAAGCTTCAAATGAGAAGATAACAAAAGAATCTAATATGCCAGAGAACCGAACTGCGAAACCTGCAGATGATTTAACACGCACAAGAGATGAAGATACAATTGCAGCGCTTGCAGGCCGTCACGGAGAATTATTCAGCCAAATGGCTGTCGCAGAAGGCTGCTGCATTCTGGATGATCCTCTGCACGGGGCTTTGTTTTCAAATACCAGGAAAGGAGTAGATTCAAGTAAATGCAAAAGCTCCGTTGTGGTATTTGTACACCATTGCATCTGCCCCTCGCACTCCATCCCTTTGCTCGATGGACAACACTGGTCAAAGCCGGCTTCATGTGAGTTTGCTTTGCGCTTAAGCTAGCTTGGAAGATGCGAATTCGGCGGAGATTCCCGGCGCTGCAGTATGCAACGTTCGAACTCTCCTTCGGCTATTCGATGTAATTCAGCGGTAGCTTGCACGGCAGCTCATACCTGTGACGTTGTTGAAGCACAGGGATTAAACCCGAAGGCATTAAACCCTTGAAGTGTTTCTGTTTGCCAGGACACACACCAGAAGTGACGCGCAAAATAATTGACTGGCGCTGCTAACTCGAAAGAGCCCCTTATTCACCATAAATGAATTGCTGAAAATATGAGAGGGCACTAAGGCGCTCCATTATAAAAGGTAGTCGTTTTCACATTTGGGTGGGCGGCACAGGCAGCAGGTCTTCTGTTGCCCAGTGATGGGCGCCATCTAGCAAGCAAAGCAAGTGGGGAACGTACGTGTCAGGCAACTGCTTGGATGCGTTTGGTCGTGGAAGCTTAAGAGCATATCGAGATAAATCCTGTAATGCATGCGGCATAATTTGACTTAGTAGAGTCACAGAGTCATTTTGTGATCTTGTGAAAGGATCAAAAGAGACGCTGTGGTTCGACCGAAAGCATCTCCAAGGTGCCTCCCGTGGGAGAGACAACTTGGGTTTGTTTTGTCATTTTATCAGCTGCACACAAGAGTCGAACCTAATTTAATGAATTGACCGGAGTTGAGCAAGAACATAATTGTGTGTTTTCGAAAATCCGTCTGCTTGCTTCCCCCTGAGTTCTCTATTTGTTCTTATAGGCTCACCCACAAACGCTGTTGCTGGTGGAGGCGGAACAAGAAACAGAAGGAGCA